GAGGGACACTGCATCAATACTGTAACCTACCCCCCTCCTTACTCAGTTATCAGGAGATGGACTACATGCAGAAGGACACTGCATCAGGATTGGAAGAGGCTTATGAAGAATCTACAATATGAGAAGGACACAACCTTGCTTGCTGAAAGTGACGAGGATCTGAAGCCCTTGCAGATGAAACTCAGGAACGAAGCCTTCAGTATGGATCACAACTCAATGTAAAGAAAAGTAAAATCTTCAAAACAGGGCCAATAGCTAACATCATGGTAAACAGAGTTGTCATGGTAGAAGATGTCAAGGATTTTGTCTTTCTTGGATCCACAATCCAGGCTCATGGAAACAGCAGTCATGAAATAAATGATGTGTTGTACTGGGTAATTCTGCTGTGTAAGACTTCTTTTAAGTGTTGAAAAGCAAGGATGTTACTTTGAGGACTAAGAGGCAGCTGACCCAAGCCTTGGGGTTTTCTATTGTTTCACAGGCTTGTGAAGACTGGGTGTTGAGTAAGGAAGACGGAAGAAAGAGTGGTGCAATTGAATCATGATGCTAGTGAAGAATGCTGAAAGTACGTTGCATTACAAAGAACAAACAGCCTCCTTGGAAGTGAGGATGGCAGACTGCGTCTCACGTACATGGGACACGTTGCCAGGAGAGAGCAGTGCTGGGAGAAGACAGTATGTTTGGTAAGGTGTGCTGGCAGTGGAAAAGAGGAAGCTTTTTCAAGAGGATGGTGGTTGCAACCAAGGCTCAAACATCAGGACGGTTGTGAGGATGGCTCGGGACGGGGCGGGGCTTCGCTCTGCTTCACACAGGGTCACTGTGAGTCAGAGCGACTCGACAGCATGGAATATCGACAAGCCTATATGCTGCTGCTACAAAATCACAGAAACCTTTACTAGGTCAAAACATCCGCATGTAAAACTTGTGCTTTTTTTTTAACATAAAAGTGGTGTTTCCATCTCCTCAGCCCTTCTCTGAAGAACCCTACAGTCTTTGTTTCTACCATGCCAAACTGGCAGTTAGGGTGTCCCTGAGGGACTCACAGTGGTCCTGTTCAGTGTTCTTTGGGAGAGGGAGAAAGACGAGGCTGTCTACTGAAGTAAAAACGAACAGTCAGAAACCCCAAGGTTGCTGTGAGTCAGGAGCAACCCCATGGCCCTGGTTTCAGTGGGGTAGTGGCTAGTGAAGAGAGTATTTCCCCATGCATTTGTTGGCCATCTGGGAGTCCTATTTTGTGTGGAGTATATGCTCATGTCCTCTGCTCTTGTTTAAATTGGATATTTGTGTTTGTCTTGCTGCAGTGTTACAGTTTTCTATAAATTTTAGTGATTAGTCCCGTGTCCAAAATGTTACTGCCAACATTTCCCCCTAGTCTGCCGGTTCTCTTGTCATACTTTTGGTGAAATCAGTTGATGCATGTAAATGTATAATTTTTAGGAGTTCCCAGACATCTAGTTTGCTTTTAGCTGTTTATCTATTTTTCATTATGTTTGATAGTGAAACATAATTAATGATATGTATTAGGGCCTCTAAATTTGCCCCCTTTTTTTTCCCATTGATATCTTTATAGTTCTAGGTTTTCCATTCAGATGTTTGATCCACCGTTTCTGATTATAAAGAAAAGACCACAAGGCCGACGGCAGGGTTATAAAGAGAAGCAGGCAACGCTGTTGCCTGAACGGCCATAGAGTTAAAGCAACTTCTAGGGAAGCCAAGTCCCTCAAAGCTGGGCAAGGTCACAAGCAGTAAGGACAGGGTGTGCTCGCCTCATGAGAGCTGCTCTTGGACAGAAAGCAGTCGACTGGCAAGAGCCCAAACACAATGAAATGGCATTTTTAATTATAATGAGGTTGAAAAATTAGTGTTCCTGCATGAAAATGCTTTGTGATATTTCTTAGGTTCTTAAAACAGAAACTCTTGACTCAATAATTAACGTTGGAAGAGACCATTCATCTGTTATCTAATGAGGTGGTTTAAAACCTTTCTTCTATTAATTTTAATTTTAACTTGCAGTAAGTATACCATTTGATTATGTTTTTTAAAAATTCTTGTGTATAAGAGATTCAGCACATCAACTAAAAAGCAAGGATGTCATCCATCTGCGTAGAGCGGAAAGTCACAAAGAACTTTCTCATGTGGCTTTTTGAAGTGGTCGACTGTGCCTAAAATAGTTCTCTCTTTTTCTTCTTTCAGACCAACAGATCAAAGTAGTATTTTCACTTGGAAACTAGTAAAATCTACGAGAGTCTTGTACAAACTCTAGCTTTGTTCAAACCTCAGGGCTCTGGCATCTGCACGGCTGCAGACGGAACAAACGCTCCTGTGTCTAGACTACTGCTCCTCCTCCTTGCTCTCCCCTGAAGCCAGCACCGAGCAACAAGAGAGGCCGAGACAGGGGCCTTTGTGTACAGCATGCTGCCAGTCTGAAGCTCATCAAATTCTATCAGAAAGTGAGATGCATAGTCTTCAACAAGACGATGTTGTGATACACTGAACACAGCATCAAAGCGAGAGTCTCCAACAGCTTGTCTGGACTGCTCCATCCACATTGCACCAGGCATCAGCGTTAAATAAGTCAGAAGTATCTTTGGTCATGTGACAGTGCTTTAAATTACTATAAAATTTGGTTTTCAAAATGAATTTAGAGTAATTTACAGTGAATTCCCAAATAATCTTGAAAACAAAATTATCTGCATGATGTCTTTTACAAAGAGAATATTCCCATCACTTTTTCAGAAACATTTTTAAAGGTACTGCTTTAAATACATATAGACTTCATTAAATCTTTTGCTTAGTTCTATTCTTTCTGATCTATTGAACTTTCACAAAATAAAATTTCACAGATAATTATCATCTATTAAGATATTTTATAAACAGTTCAATACCAACAACTAGAATAAATTGATTTTAATACATTTGATGGCAAATGCCATCTTTCACTGCTGGTTTAAATATTCACGCTTCAGAATCACTACTTCTGTTGCACAGTTCAGGTAACAAAGACATGAGTATAAGAAATGGGTCAGGTACTGTGCTAGGTGCTTGGGGACATCAGGGAAGGAAGGAAGGGAGGAAGGAAAGAAGGACCCTTTCTTTGGGTCTAATGAAATAATAAAGGAGTTCATGTTTATTGAGTGCTTATGGATATTTATGAGTTATATTAGTATTTTAGATAGGTATTATTTAGTTATCACCAAAGTGCTATCTACCTGGTATTAATACTACTGAGATTCAGGAGGATTAAATAACCTTCTTAAACCTAAAATCACACATCTTTTAAATTGTAGAACTGGGGTTAAAGGCATGTCTGACTTCAGAGTTGGCCTTTGCAGCAGTATATTCACTTGGAGCTGTTAAAGATGCAGGCTGGATTCAGAAGAAGACATGGAACAAGATATACCGTTACTGATGTCAGATGGATTTTGGATAAAATAAGGAAACAGAAGAAAGATGTTACTTGTGTTTTGTTGATTGTGCTAAAGCATTTGACGGTGTGCACAATAACAAAATATGGACAGCCTTGAAAAGAATGGGAATTCCAGAACACCTCATTGTGCTCATGTGGAACCTGTACACGAATTAAGAGGCAGTTGTGCTAACAGAACAAGGGAATAATTCATAGTTTAAAATCAGGACAGGTGTACATTGAGGTTGTATCCTTTTATCGTATTTATTCAAGTGTAGGCTGAGCAAATAGCCTGAACTTGCCATGAACTGTCAAGAACCAGCAAGTCTGTCTGTAAGACACAGGAGCAGAGTACTTCTCAGTGGCCAGATGGCGAGATTTCTTCTCAGGTACTTGGGACTCGTTGTCAGAAGAGACCAGTCCCTGGGGAAGGACATCATGCTTGGTAACTCAGAGGGGCAGTGACATAAAGGAAGACCTTCAACAAGATGGACTGACACAGTGGTTCCAACAACTGTGCGATGGGGCTGGACTGGGCTTGGTTTCCTTCTGTCCTGCATAGCGTTGCTATGAGTGGGAACTGACTCAATGGTCTCAACAACGACAATCAAGGAAATACTGCTTTTCATCTTTGGCTGCTTTGTCTTACTACATAAACACAATCACTTACCAAGTGGCAAAAATGCAAGACGGTTTCCAGCCATGGAGAGTTCATTGAGACTGGGAAGCTGGCAGAGATGACGTGGTACACACCATAGATGATTTCGGTCCACAGTTAGGTACTGCAGAGAAAGGCACAGGTGAAGCCTCTCAGGTAAAGTTAGCAAACGATTGGTAGAAATGTCTAGGGTCTGCAACTCCTTCAAATCGCCAACCTCTACAATCAAAATAAAAATTCAAATAAGTGATATTTTTATTATCACGTAAATAAATCAATGAAACAATGCTTACACAGTTGTACCAAATAAAACCAGTAATTTCAACTACTTCCACAGACACAGATGCCAAAGCATGACATTTAAGTTTAATATGCAATAAATCCAATATACGTTGATGTTGTTAAGTGTTGTTAGTGGAGTTGGTAGTGACTTACAACGATGCTATGTGTAATAGAGCAGAAAAAAATGCCTTTAAATTAGTCCAGCAGGATGTCTTAAATGGAGACAGTGTTGGCACAGGGAAAGGGGATGGGAGGGCGGTTATGATAACTGAATCTAAGCCAATGTCTGTTCCTATGATTGCTGCTGCTTTTCATTGAGTCAGAAGTTGTTGCTGGGATGAGAAAAGAATGGTTAAGTTCACTTGGCGGTGCTGGAGTTTTGCTTTTTTTATGGTTTAATTTTTTAAGAGATACTAAGAAACTTAAAAATATAGAATATCCAAATAGATGTAGCTTAGTCATAAGAATTTTACATAAGAATTCTAGACTCAAAGCTCATTGGTAGGCAACTGGACACCCCCTTACTGAAGGGTTGTGGGGAGGAGATGAGCCAATCAGGGTACAGGGTAGCACGATGAAACATATAACTTTCCTCTAGTTCTTAAATGCTTCCTCCCCCTCCAACTATCATGATCCCAATTCTACCTTACAAATCTGGCTAGACCAGAGGATGTACATTGGTACAGATAGCAACTGGAAACACAGGGAATCCAGATGACTCCTTCAGGACCAGTGGTGAGAGTGGTGATGCCTAGAGGGTGGAGGGAATGTGGGGTAGAAGGGGGGAACCGATTTCAAGAATCTATGTATAGACTCCTCCCTGGGGGGTGGACAGCAGAGAAGATGGCGGGGGGAGATGTCGGACAGTGTAACTTATGACAAAACAATAATAATTTATGAATTATGAAGGGTTCATGAGGGAGGGGAGAGGGGGAGGGAGGGGGAAAATGAGCAGCTGATATTAAGGGCTAAAGTAGAAGGCAAATGTTTTGAAAATGATGAGGGCAACAAATGTACATACATGCTTGACACAATGGATGGATGTATAGACTGTGATAAGATTTGTACAAGCCCCCAATTAAAAAAAAAAAAAGAATTCTAAGCTAAAAGAAGACAGCAAGATATCCTCTGGAAAATCTCACTAAAGTAAAGAGCACAATGATATTATGAAATTGTTGTTAAAAGTGAAAAAACCTCACTGCCAGCTAGTTGAATCCTATCCATCGAGCCCCTCCAGGGCAGGGTAGCACTACCCCTGTGGGTTTCTACGAGCGTGACTCTTCACAGGATCACAAAGGCTCATCTTTCTCCCTCAAAGTGGCTGCTGGTTTCAAACTGCTGCCTTTGCAGGTCAGCAGCCCGATCAATAACCAGCACTGCTTTACAACCGTTGTTGTAAGTGCCGCCGGGTTGGTTCTGCCTCCTAGCCATGCACTGTACAACAGAAGGAAGCTCCTCCACCCAGTGCCACGTTCAAGATAATGCGGAAGTCCACTGCTGTGGCCCCCGTGTCAGTCCACGTTGTCGGGGGTCTTCTTTCTCACTGCTCCTCTAGTTTACCAAGGATGACGTCCTTTTCCAGAGACTGGCGATTCCTAGCTTAGTAGGTTATGTTAGGCTTCTAACCCAAGGGTCAGTACTTCAACTCCACCAATGGATCCAAGTACAAAAATGAGTTTTCTGCCCCGTGACCCTCAGAAACCCAGAGGCATTTCTACTCGGTGCTGTGCTACAAAGTGAGCCCAACCAAAGGCACTGGGCTGGGTCTCTCCTGATAAAAGGTCTAGGGTACAGGGGATGAAGTCTCTCCAGCCTTACTTCAAGGTGCATTCTGGTTGTACTTCCTTCAAAGCAGAGTTCTTATTGTGGGGAGCAGTCCTTGGTCTTTCAATATTTTTTGCCAGCACCATAATTCAAGTGCATCAATTCTTCTTCAGTCCTCCTTATTCAGTGTCCAAGTTCACATGCATATGGGTCAACTGAAAATACCATGACCTGAGCCAGGCATACTTTAATCCTCAAAGTAACATCCTTGCTTTACACTTTATTATTTTTATTACTTTTTTAAAAAATTTCAATCACTGTATTGGGAGCTCTTACAGATAACATAAAATTCCATAGTCCAATCTCATAAAGCAGTATTGTACAATTGCTACCACAGTCAGTTTCAAAACATTTTCTTTCTCCTTAAACTCCTTGATATCAGCTCCCCTCATCCCCTCCCTCCCCCACCCTACCCCCAGGAATCCTTATTTATTCTTCCTATAACATTTTTGTGCCATACCTTACACAATCTGATACATCCATTCACATACAATTCTGTTGTTATAGCCCATCGAGTGGGGTTATAGTCATCAATGCTATCCGCTCCTTATCCACCCCGCCCCCCACTCTCTTCCCGTACTCTCAGGAAACCATTGTTCCTGTTAATGTTTCTGAAGGATTATCTATCTTGACTTTCAGGTACCTAAAAATCTTAAATATGCAAATGAATATATGCAAATCTAATGTGATTATTGAGGTAAAACAAATAAAAACCATAATAGTAAGGGAAAAATATTAAAGAACTAGAGGAGAGTTATGTGGTTCATCAGTGCTATACTGCACACTGGATTTATCATCCCTTCCATGTGGTTCTTCTGAGGGGGACTGTCCAATTATCTTACAGATGGGTTTTGGGTCTCCACTTTGTCCCCACTCCTTTTCATCAGTTTGACTGTTTGTTTTTGAACTTCTGATACCTATTCCCATCGACATCTCATGATCACACAGGCTGGTGTGCTTCTTCCATGTGGGCTTTGTTGCTTCCCTGCTAGATGGCCGTTTGTTTTACTCCAAGCCTTTAAGATCCCAGATGCTGTATCTTTTAATAGCCTGGTGCCATCAGCTTTCTTCACCACATTTGCTTATGCATCCCTTTTGTCTTCAGCAATCATGTCAGGAAGGTGAGTATCATACAATGCCACATTATTAGAACAAACCGTTCTTGTACTGAGGTAAGATTTAAGTAGAGACCCAAAGTCTATCTGCTTCCTTGTTGCATTAACATATAAACAAATATACATATATTTATACATATCTACATATATATATATTCTTCTTTCCTATTTTTATTTTTTTTCCTCTTGCCCTACTATCATGTTTACCCATCGTTCACCTCTCAGTAATTCCTCTCAGATACACAACACACTATAGATGGCCTTGAGAAGAATGGCCATTCAAGATACTTGATTGTGCTCATGCTTGGTAAAACAGAGAGGCAGTGAAAAAGAGGGGCATACTGAAGGCTGCCATTCTTGATCTCCACCAGGAAATGCTTCAAGATCTCCGCAATTTCAACAAGCAAGATTGTGCCATCTGCATATTGCAGGCTGTTGTTAATGGACCTTCTTCCCATCCCGATGCCACATTCTTCTTCATAGAAGCAACTTCTCTAATTATTTGCTGCTTAGCATACAGATTAAATAAGTAAGGTGAGAGGATACAAGCCTGCGCCATCCCTTCCTGATTTTAAACCATGTAGTATTTCTTTGTTCCATTCGAACAGCTGTCTCTTGATCCAAGTACAAGTTCTGCATTAGCACAATTAAACGTTCTGGAATTGTTCGATTTTTCTTTGCCTGATGGTAGGTTGCTCGACCCATTTTACCCACCAACACAAGTGGAATCACTTTCCGTAAGGCATACATGACCCCACCCCCAACCTTGACTTGAACTTCCAATAAGATTCACTTATCACTCTGGTAGGAGTGCTTGTTAACTTGAGTATCGTAAGCACAATATTGTATAACAGCAACAGAATGGTCTTCTCCCTCTCCCCCCTGGAGAAACTGATCCAGTCCAGGTGAAATCTCCTCTGTCAAAATGGGTTTTAAGATGAAGATGTAAAGTAGGTGATATGTATAGTTCGTGAACACTAGACAGGCTCTCTACATCTTTGCTTAGGAGATCAAATTAGAATATTACTTGACCTGAATGCAGAAGCCTGCCTTTGACTTGGTGTTTAGAGTAGTGGACTCAAAAATATTTGTCTTTTTTGTGATTGGCTAACCACTCAGCATAATGATCTCCAGCTCCTTCAATGTCATGAGATTTTGTGATTTCAACACCGCTTTTTAGGGATGCATAGATTTCCATTGTGTGTATGTACCACAGATTATTTTATCTGTTCTTCAGCTGATGTGAATTTGAGTCGTTTCCAGCTTCTTGCTATATAAACAGTGCTTATATAAACATGAGGAAGCATATTTATGTTTGTGTTCTCTTGATCCTTTGGGTATAGGCCCAACAGAAGTATTGCTAGTCATATTGTATTTTTATTCGCAGTTGCTCCAGGTAGCACCATATTACTTAGCACAACTGTTGTACATATTTGCAAGCCCACAGGTCGTGTATGATAGTTACAGCTTCAGCACACCCTCTCCAGTATTTGTTGTTCTTTAAAAATATATATTTTTGCTATCATTGTGGGTGTAAGATGATATCTCATTTTTTTTTAATTAATCAATTTATTGGGGCTCATACAATTTATCACAATACATAGATCAATTGTGTAAAGCACATCTATACATTTGTTGCCCTCATCATTCCCA